GTGATTCAGCAGACCTTCGAACTGAAACAGATTCTTTATGGATTTGAAAGATGGGTAAAAGGTTGAGTTAAGCAAAAGTTTACAATCATATTGAATTTGAGAATGAATTACGAATGCATCAAAATATTAGATTACGTATTGGGCTAGAAAAGCATAAATTGCAATAAGAAAGTGTTTGGAGAAAGGATTTCAAAACATTTTATAAACTGAATTCAAGAAAATCAGATCTTGATGTAATGACTCTCTATGGCTGTAGCCCATTCACTGTATAGAAATGTTAGATAAATTAGCTTAACACCAACCTGCTGGCCGGCTACGCTGTTGTTAAAGCTTCCAGGATCAGTAGCTGCAAGTGCGAGCAAGCAAAGGAAAACAATAATAAAACTTAAGAACATGTATTAGTTGACGATAATATCTGCATTTTAACAACTTAACATGATCTTATGGATTCTTCAAGAAGTAATCTTCCCATAACCAATTTTCTTGCCTATTCTTCTTAGCCAAAAAGAAAGCCAAAGATCCTCGAAATTTTCCTCTTTTTCTTTTTGGTCTTCAACCTAAAACCCTAATTGAACCCAAATGCAGAGAAAGAGGAGGAACATCGGATCTACGAAGTTACAAACCTTCGTTCTGATCATTTTCTTTGAACTCGTTCTCCAGAGCTTTATCGATCATGTCAGCGAAGCTACCTTCTTTTGGCTTGGAGAGGGAGACATTGGACTCGGTGGCGTTAGCGTTCAGGAGGGGATCTGATTCAGTGAGCGGCTCAGCGAACGACAGTGAAAAAAGCAAATCTGAGCTGAGAAAGAGCAGCGTAGGGATCAAAATACTGAAGAGGCCATGCGAGGAGGACGAGCTTCTTCTCAACATTGCAGAAATGGCAGCTGCGAAGGATAAAACTGCGCGCAGATGGTCGAGCTTCAAGAACGAGAAATCGCAATTGGTAGAGAGAGCAGAGAGAGAGAGGGAGAGAGAGAGAGAGAGAGAGAGAGTGGGAACTAACCAGAGTTAGGGCGGTGTGGTCAACTTAGAGTCAAAGACTCATAAATCTTCAGATTAATTAAACAAATGTGTGGGATTCCGTCGTCGGTGGAAACTGTAATCTGGGATGCTTTATGAATTTATAATGCCGGCGGTGACCGAAATTAATGAATTTGATTAGGAACTTTTAGAATTACCGTTATGGTTTCTTTTAAGTTAGGGGTGTGTAAGATCCAATTCAATCTGCCTAAGTTGATTAATCCAATTCAATCCGCCTAAATTGATTAATTCAATTCAATTTTAGTTGGTTTCGATGATTTGACGAATTGGATTGAATTCCTAATTTCCAAAATCGACATGATTGGATCGAATGGTGGATTTGCTTGTGAGGATCCAATCAAATCCATTACAATATAATTTCATGCTTATTTTGCTCATTAGGTAATTTTTATTAAGAATATAAACATTTTAAGTAATTTGATAGAGTGATGTTTAATATATTATAAAATCAAAATAAATCTCTAACATTTTATTATATTTTACATTTAAATCTATTAAAATATTTGATTATATTAAACTTGACGATAAATGTTTCATATTTCATTATTATCTTTTTCCATTATGAAAACCGATCATCCAATCCAATATTGGATTTAATTGGATTTAAACCTCTAATGTGAACGGATTAGATTGGAAAAATCATAATCCAATCTATATTGGAATCAAATGAGAATTGGTGAAATTGAATTGGTTTCGAACCGATAAACACCCCTACATGCTTGCATGAAAAACAGCCATGATTAAGTAAAACCTAGCAGCTAATTTGAAGGGAAAACATTATAGTATAATTGAAGACCTAAAAAAACAAGTAAATTACACATTTGAAGGGTTAAAATAATGATAATTAAGCTCTGCTAAATTCCTAATTAATGACATCGACATAATGAAAGGAACGGGAAACAGAGAGCATCAAAAGTCTGAATCCAGATGCATGTGGTCAGTTGGTGTTTACTTTGCCTTCTCATTGTTAAAGATATTTCACGAGGCTACAAGTCCTAATTGATTTCATCAGCATTTTCTGAAAGGACAAATATAAAGTTAGTGCATGTAGAGATTATAGGGTGCAATTCAACAACCTTTTATTTTATTTTATATAGTTTTATCTTTCTTTCTTAGTCATCTGAATTCTGAACCATGTTTTTAAAAGTTATTTTGAGTGGTTAAATTAGTTAGTTGAGATCGTGTCATTATGCATTGATAATGTTTTTTGTTTTGTTTTTGTTTTTGTTTTTTGTTTTGTTTTTGTTTTTTTATAGTCGTATAAGCAATATTCTAAATTATAAGGGAGAGAGATTTCTCACACACACAGAGAGATTAAGTGCCCGTTTGGCATTTCTTATTAGGGGTTATAAATGATTTTTTTAAAATTTTGGGAAGCCCAGCCCGTTTGGTAAACTATGAGAAAATCACTTATTGTTAAAAATTGCTGTGAGAGAAAGCTATAAGGGAAAACAGCTAATAATGTGTTTTCATTTTCTGATTATGCAGGAATCAGTTTCGAAAATGCGCTGGGTTTAATGATTATGCGGGAGTCATTTTCTGATTATGCAGGAAATAGTACCAACAACATTTTTAACAAAAAGTTTACTAAATGTCAAACTGCTATTTTGTTAATTATGAAAACCGAGCATCCAATCCAATCCTATATCAATTGGATCAGATCATATTGAATTTAAACCTCTAATACAATTGGTTTCAATTGGAAAAATCATAATCTAATCTATTTTAGATCGGATTCAAATGGGTGAAATTGTATGAGTTTCGAACCGATGTATACCCCTACTTTAAGCTTTGCTTTTTATGCAAAACTAGAAGAGTTATTGTAGTTATTAGCCATTGATATATCATATAATTCACCTACGCAAGTGTGTGCAAGTATTAACTTCAAGGAATATTGAATTTTATATAGAAATTCATTTTTTATTTTGGGGATTGCAAACTAATCAAATTATTACATATTTGGGTTAAGCCAATTAATGAAGACAGTATGACCGCTCATTGCATTCAAGTTTGAATCACCATTTATGTAGATTAGAATTACCCTTGTGAGAGTTTATAATTAGCGTTGTCCAAAATTAATGAATTTGATTTGGGATTTAGAGAATCACCGTTAAGGTTTGTTAAGCTTCAAGTTATGCTAGTTGTTATTCGTTGATAGATCATATAACTCACTTCCATCAACGACAAATTATTGATCATAAATAGAATTATGATTGAATAATTGTTTGGAATGGAAAAAAGTTGTGTTTGCTCAATTGGAGAAATTACTTATCATGGTGGTAGACATTATTTTACCGGATCACAAATATTAAAAAAAGAATAATGTCATAGTTGGTAGTGTAAATATGTCGTGCACCTCTCCAATCCAAATTAATTGTGTTGTGCTTTATTGCCTTTGGCCATTTGTCACAAGACAATGACCTTGTTTGATTACTAACACGCCAAAATAAATTCTTTTATGTTGGTTTAAATGGACTTGAGCTTGACGCCAACTTGCAGCCAAAATCACTATTACTTGACAAAGAGGAAAGGCCATAAAAAGCCTCATATATGTATATTTTTCTATACCACGTACGGTATTGAAAACTTTCCCAACGAAAGAAGCCACAAACAATTGCAATCAACGATATAGGCGGTAAAAGCCAGCAATATAGCATGATGCCCATAAAGTGGGAAGAAAAGAACCATTAAAATAATTACTTGATGTTTTGTACGGCAATGAATTCATAATAATGTCAAATTTTATACTTTGATAATGTCAGCATAGACAAAAGAATATTTCAGGCTAGTCTCTGCCACTAAGCATTAGAAAATGGCAATCAAGGGCACTCTTGTTACCCGATTCTTGCGAGATTTCTTATGATAAAGAAGGTTGATACATATCAGTACAAATACCCAAAGTATCACAAGTTTAGAGTAATAAGGTCCATATATATGATCTTCGAGCAAGGACTTAGTTTTAGTCGTTGGATTACTTGGATATTTATAAAAAATAAAGATAAATAGGCTTGTAATTATCCCAAGATGTTCCATTAAACCTCAAAGGAACATTTAGATTGCACATGACTTCGCCGTATAGCGTACCAACTTTTTCCTGGAAAGCAATCACTACGTCGTCACTGTAAGGTGAGCAGCATTGGTAAGCACAGGTTCATCCAACACCAGAGCCTTCCATCCTTGAACAATTACATTATGAAAAATGGATGCGTTCTTGAGGTCTAGGTGAAACGTTGTATGTCTATGGTCCAAACTCACAAGACCAAATATTTTGTTTTGATAGTATGCAGTGACTCGGATGTCGATCAAATCAAATGGGAGTCCCTTGTTAAGGTTTGTGAGGGTGATGTTGAGAGAGAGGTTGTAGAAGAGAGTATGATTGGTTTCAGTGTAATTGAATTGGGTAAGATAAGCATCGTTAATGCTGAATCTGGGGCCTTCATAACGTGAACAAGAGAAACATAAAACCAAGGAAGATGCAAACAGCAAACGGCACCACCGTCAATATTTCCTTGCAGTCGCAGATGCTGTTATTCTTGTTGTCTCAGCTTTCAGACATGGTTAAGAAAAAGCTAGAAACAGTACGTCTAACCAGAAATTAACGGATACAAATGCTAGCAACAATTCTAGGGTTTAAATAGCTAGTCCGCCCCACCCCAAAGCCTTGTTCAAAGAGAAGTTGGATCCAAATCAATTAACATTTAGGTTAGGTTAGGTAACAATTAATTCACGTACAAATAGAAATGGTAGACTTTGTAGGAGGAGGATTAGGATTCCCATGGCATATATTAAAACTTGACCTAAATTGAATTCAGGCATCAACTGAACCAATTTAAAATCCTAAAAGAAACATTGCTAGTCAATTAGTTAGTAATCTTTATTTATTTGTTTTGCTGAGAGGACCCCGCCTCATTAGGCCTGAAAGAAGGCTGAGCTGACCCCAACCTGACAATTCCCAAATGAAACAAGGGCTGAAAGCGTGACTATATTACATCGAATTCGATAATCAACACATTTATGCAGAACCTAAGTGCAGGCGTTCTCTTATCTCATCGAATTCGAACGCGTGACTGTATATTACAAGATGCAGTCATGGCCAACCAGAACGCAGAATGATGAATCTCCCCCGCTACTTAAGCTATTGCTATACATTGTTTTTAGTGAATATGCATGCCTAGCTCGTCTCAGATGCATATATCATTCTTGTATGAATCCTGAAACCCATGTCATGGCTTCTTGGTAGTGACCCAACCTCGTAAATAGCCACAAAAAACGTTGGGGAATGGTTCATGTGGCGGTCATGTTTTTACCTGTATCTATAAGGCATTTGTTCGAGAGATTGGTTATCGAGTCTGCTATAACTCTGGCACTAGACTTCATGTAACCACCTGAAACGTAACAGGAGTGGATTAAATTTGAAGAAAGCTAAGGTTCTATGCAATCTATCTAGCAACAATAAGTCATCTGGAATTCGCAATAACATCCGACTGGCATGAAAACCCAAGAACCTAGTGTGGTAAACCACTTTAACATTGCAAAGGTGGGTAAATTTCTTGTATTATTGATCTACTTATCATAACTGGCTAGTGTAATAAGACTACACGATCCTAGAAACCAGTGAAAATTAAAGAGGCAAAAATGAGACAGAGGGAGAGAGCACCTGATGTGAGCATGACAATAGGAATGTTCCTCTTACGAGCAAACCTGAAAACTTTCTCGTCTCTATTTGCTATCCCATCAGGACTGATCTACACAAGTCAACATAAACACACATCAACAGAAAACCGGTGAAGGAAATACCTCCACTTGCATTTCAAGATTATGAGACCTACTCCTTCAACATAAAGGCAAGTGATATTCTCTTTGACCAAAAGGATCAATGAACGATATTACCTTCAACCTGCCCAGAGGATCTCCATCTAGAATATCAGTTCCAGCATTGTAGACTATCAACTCAGGATCAAAACTATGAACAGAAACCTAACATACACATAAACAAGGTCTAGTTCACATGGTATGGTACACAAAAATTGGCGAACAGTCATTTTCTATAAGCAAAAAATGATTACTAATTTCCTAAATATTAATTCTAACAATAATACAACTAATACTAATACTAACATGAGCTGTTTATGGTTTATTATTTTCATCACTATTCCAGAGAGGAAACAGCAGCACATTACTTGCTAGTGACATTCAATGGAGCAAATTAATCAGCAGCAAATGAGAGTTAAGCATATCTGAGACAAAGTTAAGTGTATACCTCAAGTGCTTCATCTAATTTTCTCAAGTACTCATTTGTTGTAGTTCCACTCTGTTTAAATTCAAGAAAAAGGATAACATTACACAACGTCATAGTATGAAACAACTACAATCTGATATGACAATGGGAATTTGGGATGACTCACCACTACTTCAACCTTCTGATCAATGTATCTCCTTGCTTCATAATCCTAAAGAAGATCAAATGAAGGTGGAGTTAGATCCTTGGCCTATGTTAGAGTCCTGCCCTCATAGACCTTAACAGCACTACAGCAGGCAACTTTGGTGCGAAAAACTTGCATCTCAAAACAGAACAAGAGCAGGCATCTTACAAATGGATATATTCCAGGGTTGTACACATCCAGTATATAGACTCGACCTGTTAAAAAAAAAAAACAGTTATTCGAATTCCAGAAGAGAGTCAAGTTAAAGTTTAAATCACCCCATGACTATGAGGACGATGAGGTAACCGTACTGTCATTGGCAAAATCCGTTTCATGGCCATTTCCTTGATGTGCATCAAGATCAATAATCATCACCCTGTATTGGCAAATAATGAGTGATCATATCCATACTTGAAAGTAGTTTCTTTCTTTCTTTTATTACTATTGAAATTTCAAAACCAATCCTATAATACAACTATTTCAATTGAGGTGAAAACGTTACTACCTTGATATGTTTAACCGCTCAAAGGCAAAGTGTATGCAAAGAGAAATATCTGCATAAGCACAGAATCCCCCTCCTTTTTCCCCAGAGCAATGATGAAATCCTCCCCCAACATTGATGGCCCATCCTCGCTCTTTTGCAAGCTTTGCAGCCAAGATAGTTCCCCCCACCTGCAATGGAAAATGATCAGTGCAAACCTCTTTGGTTTGTTTTCTTTTCCTCTTTGGCAACACGACTGAAAACCTAAAACGCAACACAGGTTATCAGTTACCTGGTTGCGAAATGGATAGAGAACTTTCTGCTGCACAAGGCAATTCGGGAATACGGCAACATGAGGTACCTTAATCATCGTAGCCCAAATATGTCATAATCTTCATAGCATATATGAAACTAACAAAGCTCGGCCAGAACCATTAATCCAGATCAGAAGCAGTCAGTTCATTTCAGAGTATACAAACCAAGAATGTCCAATCAAACCAAAGTCAAGTTTGTGGTCTATTAACATCACCTCAATTATCATAGCAACATTTGCACTTTTCTTTAGACAATTCAAATATGCTTCCGAGTGTACCTGCTCAAAGCTACATATGGTAAGCAATCTAAGTGCTATATTACTAATAAGCATATATACAGCAAACAAGTAACCAACCACACAGCTATATACACAAACCAAAGGGACAAGAAAATACCACAAGGAGATCATTCTTTGAAGCTTCCAGAGGCTCTACGATGCAATTTTTGTCCACAACATTATCCACCAACAGAAACCCACATATCCGACCCCACTTACTCGAATCAAACGGGTGCCTAAAAAACCAATTACACTTAAAATTTTGAATTTTATTTATAAAAAAAGTAAAAATGAAAGAACTGCAAATTCATCTCTTACAGCTTCTCGATGCCAAGAAAAGTAATATCGTATGCAGACGAATAAATCAACGGCACCTGATTGATTGATAAAAACTCAGAATCCAAAATAATAAAAAATCAAAACACAAATGAAATTAATATATAAGTTTACCTTGGAGTTGGGGATGTCGAAGTAGAGCTTGCTGGAGAGAATACGACTGCGCCTACGAGCTTGGACGCCGGTGCCATTGTCAGATGAAGAAGACGACGACATCGTTCCAGAGCGAGCTCTTGAGCGGCGGCGGAGGTTGTAGCGATAGAGAGACTGAGATAGTTTGACGGTGGCAGCGAAAGTGATGACTAAAACGATGACTGGTTTGAAGAGATTCCGAGTCGACTCGGTCCAACTCGTCACGACTAGGTTCTTCATATTCGTAATGGTTAAATGAGAGAAAAATGTTAAGCGCCTCTGAGGCACGTTGAGATCATTTGATTGATCGGACGGTTGGGAGATGAGAAATTTGGCGCTATTTCGTCAGTTAGATTTTAACGCGCCAACTAACTGACGATAGATTCGGATAAGACTAGTATGCAGCTGCTCATTTGTGACAGATAATTGATACCCGTCGTTTGACTCGTTTCTTACGCTAATACGACAACGTGCCATTTGGCCCTTGAGTTGAGAAGGAGAGAAACTTTGGGTGGACGGGGTTAAGCAAAGCAAAAGTCTAAAAACAAATGTTCAGCCCATTCAGTTTCTAAAGACTCGAGCCCTTTTACTCTGGCCATAAAGGCCCCTGTTCCCTTTGGATTGTTGTTTGTCTCTCTTGGGTTGGTGCTGCTGTGTGCTCTCAAAGCCTCATAGGTCTCTCTTTCTCCCCTTCTTTCTCGCCATCTTTTGTTTTTGCTGCTGGGTTTGGCCCCCTTTGATTTTTTGAGCCTGTGCTTGTGTGTTAGATTTTGGTTTCTAAAGAATGAGATTTGCTTTTGAATTTCTCTCATTTTAAAAAACAAATTCTTTTGGGTTTTCACATGTCTCTCTCTCTCTCTTTCTTTCAAGCCATTTTTTTTCCTGCTGGGTTTGGCTTCTGATCAGTATATATGCTTACCATAAGTGAAAAAAGCTGTTCTTAGAGCTCTGATGCTTTGTTTCCGTCAGTGTAAAGAAAATATGCGAGACCACTTTCTCTTTCTCCCGATTCCTCATTGCTGATCATCTTGATGTCAACGCTCAGGATGTGCAGGTGGGTTTTGATATGAAATTTCTCAGATGTTTTTTGGGTTTATGAGTATCAATTTTGGATAAAACATGGTTCTGTTTTTTCATTTAGGGAAGAGGGGGATGAAGAAGACTGGTAATAGGTTTCTTTTGGAAAAATAGATCTAAGTTTAGCCTGTTTTTTGTTTTTACTTTTTTTTAATTTGTATTAATATTGTACTTTGTAAAATGACAATTTACCCTTATAATTGACGGAAAATTGGATAGAAATGTAGAAACTTGACGATAGGTGTTAAATTGGCTATAAAATTTAGTATAAGGGCTAAATTGACTGAAAAAATAATTTATGGTGGACATTTCAACAAGCGTTATAGTTCATGGAGGTTTTCGGCACTTTACCCTTTTAAAAACCCCTTTACGTAAAAAGACAATATAATATAGGGAAAATATAATTTATCAGTTTTTTTGTAGTTGGAATAATTTATCATTTTGTTGTTGTTGAAAAAGATACTTTATTAAAAAATAATAAGCAGCGTAAGAGAGTACAAAAGATAGCATTGAAACAGTCAATACTATCCAAAACCCAAACATGCGAAACATGAACAAATGTGTGATTTTAAAAAAGACTCGCGCCTGAACAACTTGAAGGGAAACAACAAAAAAAGAGAAAAAAGAGGAAGCATGAACATCCCTTCGATCTGCACATAGAAACCGCAATGTCGCCAACATAAATCATCACCATGGACAAAAAGTCCCTAGTGGAGTCAAGTGATGGAGCAATAGTAGCCTCGTTAAATTCTTGCTTTAAAAACCTCCAAATGGAGGAAAATTCGATTAAGGAAAAAAAGTACCACTATAAAACTTGCTCATCAATAACAACCAACACGCATAACATGGGCAAGTGGACAATGAATAAATGTTGTACAAAGCGGCCCAACAAAGCTCATCCCATGGATGAGTCGCAAGACCAACTAAAAAGAACACCACCTACTACTGCATCCTATCTTTTAATTGCTCCGCTACGAAAGGTGGCCGCTATGGTTCTCCAAGATTGAAGAACAAATGAATGATCCTTGCAACCAACATCACAAACAAAAAGAAAATTTCATTAGGATTCTAAACAAGAGTGGCCAAAACTGAAACTCAGAAAAAGATAAAATAAAATAACAAGCACTTTAACATAATCAAGAACAAGAAGATGAAGTAAATAACACCATAGACAAAAATGAATAAAAAAAAAACTTGAATTTGAGGAAAAAAAACAGAAAAAAAAAAAAAAGAATAAACAAAAGACACTTGGAAAAAGGAAAGCAAAGAAAGAAAAACTACTCCCTGAAAGTGTAAAGTTGAAAGAAAAAACTAACAAAACTGCTCCAGCTCTAGGTGCTCTCTGGACAACAAGAAGTTCAAGGTCTAGCGCACCTTGATCCATCCATCTCCTTCTCTATTGAAATTAACCTTCTCCGCAATGGGGTTTCTAGTTGAAGTAGTTAAAAGTAGTCATTCATGCATTAGAGATGATGTGGTCGAATCCCTTCTCTTTCAATATCACTTGTTTAAAAAATAAAAAATAAAAGGAAATTATAAATGTATCAATAATGTTTGGAACACCATTCTTAACTAAATATATATAAGCCTATTAATAAATTAACATATTATTCTGAGAAGAAAAACGATTTAAATGATTATTTTTATTTTTATTTTTATTTTGGTTGATGAAAAATTTTCAGTCCACGTTGTGCACATTTAGCCAAAGTAAAAGTTCGTCCAAATTTTGTTTTTAGTTTTTTGGGCCAAAGTTAAGAAGGAGAAGGGGAAACTCACACACATGGGTACCATTATGATTTGAACTTAAGATGCTCCTACTATTTAGAAGGAAAATAATTATGAATCTCTCTAAACCCAATAAACAATTATTCCAATTTATATATTTTGACAAGAGATTTGTAACTCAAGTGGTCATCTCTGCACGTTGCAACTAAGGTCTTGTGATTTCCATAAATAAAAGAAGTTCAAACCTTTCAAGATTGTTTTTATGTACGTATTTGACTATAGAAGACTGTCCAGTGAGTGAGTGGCGCACTGACAGACTATTAGTCTTATCAAACAGAAGGAAAAAAACTGCATAAAAAACAACAGTGGAAGAGAGAGGACCCCGCACAACATGATGTGTTGGATTTATCACATGATGCTGCTGCTGCTGCTGATCTCCATCCATCCATCTACTGTCTAATCAGACAGTGATTGTACCTTCCCAAAAGTTCATCTCTTGCCATTCTCCATTATTATAAATTAAATTACACATACTAGCTTAAAGCACAAGATTTTAGCTTAAGTGGGTCAGCTTTGGATTTACTAATTTACTAATTTAGGAACAATAACTTTTGGATTTTTATTTTATTTTATTGAGATTGTACCTTTGATACATAATGTACTCTAATAACATAATATTTTATAATATGTAAACTTATTCTATCACGTGTTAAGGGATTTCTTGGTCACCTACAATAGAAATAGAATGGACTCGAATTCTGACTTATTTTTTCACTCAACCCTCATCACTTAAATTATTCACTGTAAATCGAAGATTCACATTTTACTTAATAAACAGTATACAATTTATAGTTTGACAATATACTTTTTTTTTCATGGCAAATATTCTTATAAAGGGTCCACAGTGGTCTAGTTTTTTTATGTGTGTTACTTGCAAGATGAGTCAATTTGTGTCGAGGGAGAAACACTTGAATGAAACGGAGATAGTACTATTCCATACCAATAATGTAATGACATGCATGATAGTTTTTGTACGTGGTATAATGTTATTAATCGATAGTAGCAAAATAATGCTATCCCTCTTGAACATTGAAACAAAGTTTTTCTAGAAAACACCAAAAGCCATCTAACACACACCACGTTAGTCACTCCAAAAGCCTTTAGTAACCAAAAGTAGTGATAAAAAATAAAAGGTAAAAGTAAAATATAGAGGAAAAACTCTAGAACATAAAAGAGGACTCCAGGAAGTGGGTGTGACAATCTTAGACGAGGGTTCATCCACTGCTATCTAAGACCAAAGCCTCATCCATCAACAGAGCATGCCCTAAATCCATGTTTTTTCTTTTTATGCCAAGTTTCTCTCTCTCAATAAACTAAGCTACTTGCATGTGATGTGAGGAAAGAGTTGAGGAAGAGTTGTATGGTGGGGTTGGTGTTGATAGTGATCTGAGTTTGAAAGAGAAAAAAGAGGAAGGTTCATGCTTTCTCTCCACTTAGCCGATTTCGCAGATAACAAGAATAAAATTTTATAGAATAGGGGAGATGTACCAGAATTATCTTAGCTTCAATCAATCTAACAAAAGAAAAGAAAGAGAACCCTACAATAGGCGAGCTGTACTAAAAGAGTTCACTCAAAACGAAAGAGTTTCAAAATTCTCGAAACACACTATTTGAAAATGATATTGAACGGACCCAAAATGATAATACATTCTCCAGAACCACATTATCGCTATTTGTTGTCACTAGTCGATCAAATATTGGAGCACATACGTTTCATTAAAGATTGAATTTAGATACAAGTCGCATCACAAAGTTATAGAGTCCAAGCCGTAATCATTCTATCTTGATAGGTGAAAGTGGCTTAGCAATGATCCAGTTTCAGGGATTAGGATTAGACATCGAATAATTTGTATAATTTGTTTTTTTTTCCCTTCAAGTTTAGTATGGTAGCTCTTTTACGTCTCTAATTTTGACATTAAAACTATATATGGAGTTACATTAACAAATGTAGTCAGGCACAACCCTAGGCCAGACTTGATATTAGGCTATCCTATAAACTGTTATACAAATATGGGCCAAAAGTTTCATGCGCTTGAAAGGAAGGTCCATGTGTCCAAGTCTATAACCTATTATATATATATGAAAATTCTTTTATACGGATATCCGGATGTTATTATTGTGTGGATGTTGTGTATTTTGTATTATCCCTCTTTGCTTTCCTAATTGTTCACCATGGCTTTTTGCACAATAATAACATTTGAATAATACCTTGTGTTAAAGTAATAATTTTGGATGTAATATCTTCCTCTTTTTCTATGTTGCATCAAATTTTTAAGGAGGACAGTGACATTTTTGGAATCTTGGAAAATCCATGTGGTTGCTTAACAATCTTAATCATTTTTTGCTAATAATTAAGAAGAACAATCTTAAAGTTCAGTACTAGGAATCGATAAAAAGTCTACTTCAAAAATCTAGTTTCGCTTGAGAAATTATATCCATTG